TTGATTTTATTTAATGGGAAGGTCCATTTAAAACCCCAGTACAGAAATATACCAAGAGCAAAGTAGAGTGATGACAATATACTTGGAATTGATTGCAGAGGCAAATAGAATACTAATCAAACATGAAAATCTGCTAAATATTGTAAATGGCTGTACAGAGGTGCTTGAGAACACTTCATTTGTCTGTGTAACGGTATTTTTACTCAATGCAGACGCTCATTGTTTTGTCTCTGCCAAACCCAGAGATTGCTAAAATACCCCTTGAATAACAAATACTTGCATCACATTAATATATGATCATTCTGTGCTGCCCCTTTCTAATATTTCCATATCTCTGCCTAAAACCCTTGCCTTAAACTCTGATCACAGCCACTTTAGATCCCTCTACTGGCTTCCTCTTACCTCCCTCGTCACATTCAGTCACCCCTCTTCCTTGCCTTCACAATGCTACCATCTGCCTACCTGTCTGTGCAAACTTCTTTTGACTTTTCCTTCTCCCCCATCCCAGGCTACATGCCTCTTTGCCCTTATGTACACTAGAAACATTTGTACTCCTATTCCAGCACCAGTGCAGTTGTAGTACCGCTGGAAAAGTACAGGTACAATTTTTTCTAGCGAAGTTGCATCCATTGTTTCATTCTACCATGCTTGTCTCCGTGCCTTCTTTCATGTGGCCCTGTAAGCTTGGGAGCATCGTGCTAATGTGATCTGTGAGCTGCCTTGCTTCCCCCTCTCTTTTTAGTCCTTCCTCAAAACAAATTTTCCATGTGGCCAATAATCTGTATTTTTCTCCACCAAAACCAGTATTTTATGGGAAGTATTATTCTTATGAAAGTCTCATGACTCTCACACTACTAATCAAAGCATTCACATGATCTTGTTGCTTTAAACCATGTCCTCCGTTCCCCATAACCCACTCTTTCACACTTGCCAGTGTTTGTTTCCGCCTTTTACAATGTTGTGTTTTAACTTGAACCCTGATCCTGTAATTCGAGCTGCAGGGCTGGACCCTGGGACCTGCGTGGCTCTGTATGAGGTAAGAGTGCATACCACCCAGGCGGATCCAGAGGCAGGATCAGGGCCTTGGGCATCCCTTAGCAGGGATGTTGCCTTTTATCAGCCTATAAAGATCTATGCACATTTATGGCCCTACATAAATAATTACTAAATAGATCAGTTGGGATTTAGGAACTACTCCTGCAGTAGACTGCATAGCCAACACAACAAGACAGGCTATGAAAATATAAGCAAAATACATGTTTCTTTGTAATGTGTATTTCGTCAGGTAACTTCTCCATCTATGAGAACCCAACTTAAGCAAGATCAAAGATAAGTGTTAACATTCATAATTTCAAAAGATAAGTCTGGTAGAAATGCCAAAGTATTGGTTCAAATCATATTTTTTAATATAGTACAGCAGAATGAGTTATTTCAAAAGGAGGCTGGATAGCCATCTGTCTTGGGTGGTTTAGACACAACAAATCCTGCATCATGGCAAGGAGTTACACTAGATGAACCTTGCGGTCCCTCCTAAACCTATGATTCTGTATTTCTATTTTTGATGGCTAGTTTTTAAAAATGTACAAGCAATTCCAGATTGTGATGATGAAAACTCCATTCTTATTTGTTTTGTTCTGAAATTATGTAACAAAATATGATTCTTGCATTCTGGAGCTTACAGAATGTGAATTAAGACAGGAAACCAACCAGGCAAGGTAAGTGAAACCTTCATTTTGGTTTCCTGTCGAACTGCATTTTCGGAAACCAGCCCTGTTGATTTTTTTCACATTTTTTAAAATATAGACGAGCTCAGTCTTTCTAAATGGTGACATGTCTTGTAGTGAAAGGATCTATTTAAAAAGAGTGACGTTTCTTTTGCAGTATTAATATTCTGTATCTGCTGAAGAATCTTTTCCTTTTGCTTATTTTATGAGGACTGGCAGCCTCCACAGGGATTATAGGTGATCCAGTTTCTGCCTCTTTAGGTCTTGTCTCAGATCTTTTGAAGGTATTTCTGCAATAGTATGAAGAAGCCATTTAAACAGGAAAATAAGGAGTGGCCTGGCCTGTATGCATGTTTTTCTGCAAGGCATGTGATCACTTGGAAAGAAGTGAGCTCATCTGTACATGCAAAAGCCAAAAAGAGATGAATCTGTAGCAGCTATCTTCTTTAAAGTCAATGAGAAAATGAATCATCACCATGAAGATTTCTACTGTTTGATTTCTTTAGTTTTGCTTTTTTGGTTTCGGTACTTCTGTTACAGAAAAATCCATTCTTATTTTGCCCCCAATGAAGTATTTTGTCAGATATTTACTTAACAAGATTGGAGCCTCCATTGTCACACTTAGGAAATGCTTGTATGTTCTTACTGTGATCAGAAATAACTCCCACCAATCCACCCCCCTTCCGAGTCATTAAGGAAATAGCTAGAGTATTTGTCAAGAGAAGTGGCTTGTCCACAACTTTTTTCTGATAGACTTTAATTTTCGGAGAGTTAAACTCACGCTCTCCCTTCATTTGCTCTTATTCAGTACATTTGCCTTACCTAACCACTATGATAAATGTGTTTGTTATGCATGGAATACCATGGATTCTGTCTTTGTCTCTGTGAATTTTTTTTTTTTAATTGCTTCATAAAGCTGATTCTGAACAAATCTCGTGGGGCAATGCATCTTAGACTATTGTTTTTCCTTACTCTATTGTTTGAGTCACTGAAGACACATATAAAGAACAGGAGTACTTGTGGCACCTTAGAGACTAACAAATTTAAATGGTATTTTCCCCCCACACACACCCCACTCCGCCCCTCTACAGTTCCTCATATCTCCTTGTCAATTGCTGGAAATGGGCCATTTTCATTACCACTACAAACAGGTTTTTCCTCTCCTGCTGATAAAAGCTCACCTTAACTGATCACTCTCCTTATAGTGTGTATAGTAACACCCATTGTTTCATGTTCTCTGTGTGTGTGTATATATATTCCTACTGTATTTTCCACTACATGCATTCGATGAAGTAGGCTGTAGCCCACGAAAGCTTATGCTCAAATAAATTTGTTAGTCTCTAAGGTGCCACAAGTACTCCTGTTCTTTTTGCGGATACAGACTAACACGGCTCCTACTCTGAAACCTAAAGACACATAGGGGGAGGGATAGCTCAGTGGTTTGAGCATTGGCCTGCTAAACCCAGGGTTGAAAGTTCAATCCTTGAGGGGGCCGCTTAGGGATCTGGGGCAAAATCAGTACTTGGGCCTGCTAGTGAAGGCAGAGGGCTGGACTTGATGACCTTTCAAGGTCTCTTCCAGTTCTAGGAGATAGGATATCTCCATTAATTTATTTTGGGGGGGAGGGATAGCTCTGTGATTTGAACATTGGCCTGCTAAACCCAGGGTTGTGAGTTCAATCCTTGAGGGGGCCATTTCAGGATCTGGGGCAAAAATCTGTCTGGGGATTGGCCCTGCTTTGAGCAGGGGGTTGGACTAGATGACCTCCTGAGGTCCCTTCCAACCCTGATATTCTATGATTCTATGACCTCTTTTTCACCTTGAGTTTGTAACTGTGTGTTGACAAGATATGCACATTTTCAACTACACATCTGATCAGTTGCTATGAATTTGCAATTCTGATTGGAATTTTAGTTTAAGAAAACATTTAGAATTGTGTTATCTCATTGAAATACATGATATATTTTTAATCTGAAAATTCCTTGATTTTTTATAAGAAACACAATTACAATGGCAGCTGGAAGCGTCAGTTTCATGTTCAAATATTTTTGTAGATATTCAGGTTCACTGAAATTGGTGTTTTTATTTCATCCTGCAACAGGAGTAAATTAAATCATTTTATTTCCATACTAAATGTTCATTCCATGAAAGAGTGATTTCAGAACTGTTTCCTTCTATTTACTGATAACACATTTCAGGGAGTGTGAAAGAGTGCAATAATGTTTATACTTAAATTCTATAGAGCCTTTCATTTGAAAGTCTCAAAACACTTTACAGAAATTTGTTACGTAGCCTTGCAAATAATGGTATACAACATTTTACGGATGGGGAAACAGAGTCACAGTGAGGGTTAGTGATTTAAATGTGAAAAGTATCGTATTGAATATTTTGTGAGATTGAGATTAAGCAATGATTTAAACAAGAAGTAGTTGCAATTGTGAAAAGTGCAGAAAGTTGACTGGCTATAAATAGGGACCTACCAAATTCACTGTCCATTATGGTCAATTTCACAGCCACAGGATTTGAAAATTGGTAGATTTCACGTTTTCAGATGTTTAAATCTGAAATTTCACGTTGTTGTAACCCTGGGGGTCCTGACCCAAAATGGGATTGTGGGTCGCAAACCTGTTGTTGGCGGGTCACGGGATTGTCACCCTCACTTCTGTGCTGCCTGCAGAACTGGACTCTGAAAGCAGCAACCGCGGAGCTTCCTGAAGGCGCAGGAGGTTCCCTGAGGTGGGTCTGAGCTTCCCCCGAGAGCGGCTGTGCAGGGGATGGGCATTACTAGGAGCCCCCTGGCTCATGCGCTCATAGCAGCAAGGGAAGATGGGATTTCACGGGGAAGGGCTTATTTCATGGTCCATGACGCACTTTTCATGGCCGTGAAATTGGTAGGGCCCTAGCTATAAGATTAAAGTTTGTTATGTGTAACAATGTAGCATCAATTTAAATTAAAACAGAGTAAGTTCTGGCCTTCTATATCTGTGCCTTATGGCAAAGTAGCAAAGGTTTTTGGAGCTCTAACCATAATCTGAAAAGCAGTCACATTTGAATCCCTGTATATTATATAAGAAAATCCCTTTCAAAGCTCTGAATGCTGTGTATCTTTCTGTTTTATAATATGCTGTATGCTAAACTAAACCATATTATTTCCTCCCAGTGTATTTGGTTTAGACAAGATTTAAATTAGGCAGTCTTTTGACATATTTATGAAACTCAAAAGATTTAATGTTCTAGTTAAAGTATGATCAGCAATTTATCAATTTTATGTTGTAGGTTTGGCACATGTGCAGAATAAACTTTGTACGTATCATAAGTGGGATGATGATGTGCTGCATCAGTCCTGGCCCAAAGTGGACCCAGAATACCTCCAACAACCAGATATCATAGAGATGTCTGTTCTGGTAAGAGTTTACAAGCTGAGTTTCAGCAGTGGTCAGTGAATGCATTATTAGCTGTAGTTTTGTTCTTGAGGACAACAGTTGAGGTTTTACATTGCTGATTGACTCAATGCTAGGTTAGAAAGAATGAAAGCTAAAGTTAGAATTGTGCTGGTTAATTTGGAAGACTGCTCAGATGAATAAGTGAAGTGGACTTACAAGAGAAACCAAGAATAAAAAAGTATAGAGATACCTGTATGATTGTGGATAGCACTACTCTAAGAGGTTTGACTTATGCACAGTTGAGGACAGGGACTGCAGAGCAAAGCTGAGTGAGTCTGAAGCAGAAATTATGAACATATCAGCTAAGGGGCCCCTACATATTTTTAATCTATTAATCCATTGATGATGATGTATCTATACAAAAGTGTATATTTATAGGCAAAACTGGCTGCTCTGCCTATCGTTAAGGTTACCTAACACTTACCATTGTAAGACCCTGTTTTGAGTTGCTTGTAACTTAGCCAAACTTTGTCTGGGCTAAAATTTTCCATGTTTGGTCTCTACCTCAGGCTGACATTTTTTGGCAGATCTCAGCAAAATATGATTAACTGTTTTCAGGAATGAGGAAATAAGTAGCTCTACCAATGTTCAATTTTTTTCCAGTTGTGCTTTGCAGACCTATAGCACCTTCATGCTTTGCAGCAAGACCTTGGAATTTGGTAAGGAAGTAGGCCTAGGGTCAGGGAGATAGATGCCTTTTGCTGTCCCCATGAAAATCCATCCAGAGTTGTCCAAGTTATAAGCCTCTGGAAGTTACCATTTGCACATGATCAATATAACTTGCTACTAAAATCTCTGGAACCTCCTGACTGCACTCAGCATGCTCCGAGACCCAACAAAGCTTTAACTCCAGATTGCGACACAGCAGCAGCAACTGTCTCTTTAGCCTTTAGGGGACCAGTTGCAGAGCTAGGCGCCTGAAGGAGGGGATGCCATGAGTCCCAGGCTTATCTCTTCTGGTGCCCGTGTAACTATAATTAGAGCCATTTGTCCACATGCATTACGATAACTGTTAATTATGTAGTCACAGACTATTTGGTCTACAGGACCCCCGCCTCATTACAAGTAAAAATGTTCTCTTGTGTTTCTGTCCATCCTGTGCACTGAAGAAGACAGGATCTGTATAATAAATAGTATGTGATCAGGTAATTAAAGATTTTATTTGGGTGTATGTATGTAAAATAGAAAAACATTATGAAGGTGACATTAAGGTTCTACAACTATTTTCACAAAAAAGTCAGGAAATGCACAGGTTAAAATTCTAACAAGAAGATTAACTTGGGCACATGGCACATCTTTCAGATTTTATGATATACATTTTGCAACATGAACAATAATTTGTTCCACTACACATTTAACCTGAACAACAGAATGAGAAAATACTAGATATATTTCCACTGCAGCTAAGTTAATGTTACTGTTGGAATCTTAACTTATGTCTGTTGTTAACTGTACAGCCTTACATTGGTATTAATTTGGGGGATAGATTAAAAATCCTTGTTTATTTTCAAAAAAAGGAGGAGGAGGAAAATTGCCAGAGTAGTGGTAGCATGTGAGTGGTCATAAATATGCTTAAGTCCTCACCTCATTTGCGTGACCAGCGTACAGGATGCATGAGTTTCCCCGGCCCCTCCCCCACAGCCTCAGCTTGCTCTGCCGCCAGTGCAATGCTCTGGGCAGTGGGGCTGCAAGCTCCTGGGGCAGCGCAGCTGGAGAGCCCGGCCTGACCAAGTGCTCTATGCTGCGTGGTGGCGTGTCTGGCTCCAGCCAGGCAGCGTGGCTGCCTGTCCTGGCGCTCTGGGCGGCGCAGCTGTAGCACCGCCAGCCACCGGTGCTCCAGGCAGCGCAGTAAGGGGGCAGGGAGCGGGGAGGTTGGATAGAGGGCACGGGAGTTCAGGGTGGTGGTCAGGGGGTGGGGTGTGGTTAGGGGTTGGGGCGGTCAGAGGGCAGGGAACAGGGGGGTTGAATGGGGGCAGGGGTCCCGGGGGGGGGCAGTCAGGAAATGAGAGCAGGGTTTGGATGGGGTGGTGGGGGGCAGTCAGGGGTGGGGGGGTCCAGGGGGCTGTCAGGGAACAGGTGGGTTGGATGGGGCAGGAGTCCCAGGGGGGCCTTCAGGGGGCGAGAAGCAGGAGGGGTTGGATGGGGGTGGGGCTGGGCCACGCCTGGCTTTTTAGGGAGGCACAGCCTCCGCTAACGGGCCCGCCATACAATTTTGGAAACCTGATGCAGCCCTCAGCCCAAAAAGTTTGCCCACCCCTAGCTTAGAAGAATCTTTCAGTTGCTTATGGTTTCTCCTTTTGTTCTCCAAGCAAAGGAAAGTCCCTAATGCCAAGTGGGAAGAAACTTCAGACTACAATTTTTGCTGTAGTCCTATTTTAAAAAGAAGTAATTTAAATGGTTTACAATGGCAAAAGTATGGCTTTTTCATTCATCCGTAACTCAAAAACAACCAAAAGGACTTCGCTGAAAATTACCAAAAAGATAAACACACACCTCGCCTTCAAGATCAGTACAAAATACTTGATTTAGGATGAAAAAATCAAATGCACAACTACAAAATGGGGAATAACTGGCTAGGTGATAGTACTGCTGAAAAGGATCTGGGGGTGATAGTGGATCACAAATTGAATATGAGTCGTCAATGATGCAGCTGTGAAAAAGGCTAATATCATTCTGGGTTTATTAAGAGGAGTGATGTATCTAAGACCCAGGAGGTAATTGTCCTGCTGTATTTGGCACTGGTGAGACCCTCAGCTGGAGTGCTGTGTCCAATTCTGGGCACCATACTTCAAGAAAGATGTGGACAAATTGGAGAGAGTCCAAAGGAGAGCAACAAAGATGCTAAATGGTTTAGAAAATCTGACCTATGAGGAAAAGTTTAAAAAAAAAACCCATGTTTGGTTTAGAAAAGAAGCCTAAGGGGGGGTCCAGGGGACCATTACAACTTTTGTTTACCGTTCTCATTCTGTTGTTTATGCTATCCAGCAAAATGCCAGGCTATTCTTTGTTTTCCAGCATGTTGTATGGTGAGTCTTTTTGTCAATGGTCAGCATTATTGAACCCTCTATATTCCATTTAAAAATGAACGATGGTGTAAAAAATTCCCAGAGTGGGCCCAGTAAAATGTGCCCTGAGCCTAACCTGAATTCAGGTCTTTTAGAGAGATGGAATAGTATGTGTGCCTGAAGCAGCACACATTGATTTAATATCTCTTATGTTAAAGCCTTCTCGGAGCCAAGGGGAGTAGGTGAATTAGAAAACAGAGAGCAGTTCCTTTTACGAGCCGGGCAAAAGAAAATAGTTGCTACACCTTAGATTACCTGCAGGAGAAAGGCTTAGATACACTGTACCGTATGTGTGCATTTCTGCGGCCCAGGCATTATGGTAGAGCTGCACTTTGCCCACCGTTACATCACATCATACCATTTGGCATTGTAAAAAATATCTGGAACTACCCACTGTAGTGTGTGTCAGCTCAATTAATTAGAAAGGAAAAGCAGAATGATTTATTTCTTTAGACGCTTCGGATCTGATCCTGCAAACACACACAAGTAGAGTTCCTCACATATCAATGCCTGCAGAATTGTTCAGAATTCTAGTCCTGCAAAGGGTTTTTTTTAAAGCTCGTTTATGATTTTTTTTGCTGCTTATTGTACTGCTTTACTGCAGGTGTTAATGGATTGGAGTCAGATAGGTGTTACAAAAATATATGGAAGTCTGACTTAAAGGTCTTCTCCCTCTTGCTCAGTTCAATCTTTTGCAGAATCATTGTTTCACTAGGCTTCAATCCCTGAAGAATCTTCCAAAGTAGATGACATCCAGACTTTCTAATGTAAAAAAGTAGCAGAAAGGAAATTGACAGCTTCCTTCTTTGTACATGGTAAAGAAGCAAAAAAGGACACAAGCACAGTTTTTGTCCCCTCTTGAAGGTCACATGAAAGTAGATTTTTCAGTAACACAGGATGTACTTGGTGCACAAACAGAATATTTGCATCCTGGCTTTCTGCTCCTAACACTTCTACCTGGCACAGATATGGGCTATATTATCCCATTGAAGGCTAGAGAAAGGTGACTAATCATAGTAGTTGACAAGGGTATGGCTGACAAGCCTATGTAACTTTTTTTTTTTAATTAAAATGTGACTAGAGTGCTTGTTAAAGGTGGTGGATCTTCTGAAGATTGTATTTTAATAACAGAGTTAATACACAAGCCTTTCACATCAGGTGGTGAAGAAAACCATTTTGTAAATATTTGGTGACATCACAAAACCACACTGCAGTTTGGCATAATTTGTAAGCTCTGCCCCGGCCACAAATAGCAAGGATTTGGCAGGTCAGGTCTGACAACGTTGGCAGCTGCAGTACAAGTTTGCCCATGTTTCTCTGCCCTGACTGGAGGGACCACTTGTGGGAGTGAAAAGATAATCCATTTATCATATTCATTCAGTCCTGTGGCTTCTCTGCCAAGACTGGCACCAAGTATGCGGGTTGTGATAGTTTTTGCACTGTGGATATCTGCCCACTGGAAATGACACAGACTTGTTAACCCATTTTGCATAGGACAGTGAACAGCATCAGATGTTACCATCTCATCAGCCACTGCTAACCTGGGATAGATTGAACTGTTGACCTAGTGGTAAAAGGCTTTATATCTTATTAGGAATCTCATGAGCCATCCAGTCTCCCTGTGTTTTTTTCAGCACTCTACTAATTTTGACATTATACTTTCTCTTTGGAATGTTTCATCAATGGAGCATTTCTGCAGGCCCCTGTCAAAAAGAAATAGTCTGATGAACAGCTTTTGCATATTTTTTCATAAAAGCTACAATAAAATGTTGTAGCGTATGGCTGAAATCTAATGGGGTGCTTCATATAAGGAGTTAGAGTAAGGTCTAATGTATAGACGGAGTTAGGTTGTGTTCTTTTTAACTTTGTCTTTATTTAGAAAGTGTCAACGGGTTTATAAATCTTAGTCATGTAAATAAGAGACAATACAATAATCATTACAACAGTGAGCTTTTGCTTAGAGCCCGTTATACAATAATATAATCATTGGATCTCTCTATTTAAAAGGATGTTATCATGTTACAGAATGAGCATCTTTACACTACCCATGGTATGTCGTTTCTAGTAATTTTGTTAATGGGAGTGAATTCTCTGATTACGTATTTAACAAAGTAGGCATGTGTAGACAGGTTTTTATGACCCGTAAAATCTGAAATAGAGATATGAATGTGTGTTGTTCTTCTTATTCTTCGAGTGCTGGTCCCTATGTGTATGTCGCAGATGGGTAAGTATGTGCATCATGCACCTGAGTTTGGAAATTCTTCAAAGCAGTGTTCATTGGCTTGGTCGCACATGTGAAGTAGTTCTCCTCGTGCTCCTGACCAAAGGTATACGAGGCAGTGCGGGTCAATGCCTCTCCAGTTCCTTCTTACCGCCACATGGCCCGTGTCAGAATCATGTCCTCCTTCAGTAGGTTGTATAACCTGCAAAGAAAGACAATATTTGTAAATAGTTATATATTTTAACTTAACCTCCCCCACTGCAACTTGAGACCATTGCTCCTTGTTCTGTCATCTGCCACCACTGAGAACAGCCGAGCTCCATCCTCTTTGGAACCCCCCTTCCGGTAGTTGAAGGCTGCTATCAAATCCCCCTTCATTCTTCTCTTCTGGAGACTAAATAATCCCAGTTCCCTCAGCCTCTCCTCATAAGTCATGTGCTCCAGACCCCTAATCATTTTTGTTGCCCTCCACTATGAGACCTCTTTGCGTCCCACATGCACTGAAAGTCCCTGCTGTATTGTTCCAGGGGAGCCATGGGATGTGGCTCCCCAGGTGAGGCTCTTGTACTGTCTTGGACGAACGGCCTCAGATATGCCTTTCCTCCCATTTTCCTGCTTTCACAAATCATGGGGAAGATATGTCGAGACAGAGCCAACATCTTTCTCCGAGCATCCTACTGGCCCAGGCAGTTCTGCTTTCACAGAACTTGTAACAATGTCTGTCCACCCACCAAACAGGATCCACCCCATTCCCAGATCTCCTAACACCGGATGAGGGGGTGGAAATCAAGCATCCTAATCCAGACTCACTCCACCTCACAGCCTGGTGTTTGGATGGGCATTGAAAATAGAACACTCATGCTCATTCCCCATTCAAAAGTTCCTTAACCAAAGCAGAAAGAACTTTACTAGAACCTACTATGTGGCCAAATGGAGATGCTTTTCAACCTGGGCACAACTCCACCAACACTCTACAGACACCTTAAGCATCCCGATAGTCTAGGACAATCTCCTGTCCCTGAAGACTTCAGGTCTCACTCACTGCGAGTACACCTACCAGCAATAAGTGCCTTCCTCCTCCGGTGGAAGGATGCTCCATCTTTACTCACCCTGCTACAGTCTGACTTATGAAAGGTCTGCTCTTTTGCACCAGGCCTTAAACTTACACCTCAACGGGACCTTAACCTTGTCCTCTTGACACTCACAGATCCATCCTATGGTGGCATGCCATGACTCACCTATCCATGAAGGTGGCATTCTTAATGGCTATCACTTTGGCCAGGAGGGTCAGCGAGTTCAGAGCCATCTTGGCAGATCCTCCTTATACAATGTTTCACAAAGAAAAGGTTTCTCTCCATCTATACCCCATATTTCTTCCCAAGATTGTTTGAGTTCCATATCAATCAAATGATACACTTAACTATATTTTTTCCAAAACCCCATGCTTCCTCTGAAGACAAGAGACTTCACTCCCTGGATGTTCAGCATGCCCTGGTGTTCTACCTGCAAAGAACCAAACCCTTTAGGAAATCACTGAGACTGTTTATCACCATAGCAGAGAGATTGTGTGGGCAAGCCATATCCTCCCAGAGGGTTTCTAAGTGGGTTTCGGGATACATCTTAGAGTGTTACAAGATGACAAAACTTCTTCCTCCTGGGGTGGCACAGCTCACGCCACACAAGCACACACTGCCTCCACAGCATCCTTATCTGATGTCCTGCTGCAGGACCTCTGCAGGATGGCCACCTGGAGTTTTGTCAACATGTTCACAACACACTACGCTGTAGTTCATGTTTCAGTTGCGGATGCAGCTGTATGATCAGCAGTATTGCAAGCATCTTTGATACCCGCTTCCTCACACCCACCTTCAATCTGAACACTGCTTGCAAATCACCCACATGTGGAATACACATAGGGACCAGTACTCAAAGAAGAAGTGGAGGTTACTTACTGTAACATTGAGATTCTTTGAGATTTATGGTCCCTATCTGTATTCGACTACCTGCCCTCCATACCCTAGATCTTGTTGGATTTGCGGTGAGAAGAGGAACTGGAGAGGTGTCGACCCAGATTACCTCCTATATCCTCAGTCAGGAGCACAAGGAGAACTACTGTACATGTGTCAAGTATCAGAGGGGTAGCCGTGTTAGTCTGGATCTGTAAAAAGCAACCGAGAGTCCTGTGGTACCTTTAAGACTAACAGTCCTGTGGTACCTTTAAGACTAACAGATGTATTGGAGCATAAGCTTTCATGGGTGAATGCCCACTTCGTCGGATGCAGGTCGACGAAGTGGGAATTCACCCACGAAAGCTTATGTTCCAATACATCTGTTAGTCTTAAAGGTGCCACAGGACTCTCTGTTGCTTTTTACCGTACATGTGTGTGAGCCAACGGATACTACTTTGAAGAATTTCTGGACTCAGGCATATGGTGCGCATGCGTACCCACATGTGGAATACAGATAGAGACCACACATTTCGAAGAACCTCCAGTTACAGTAAGTATCCCCCACTTCTGTCATTAAGAATTGCACAGATCATTTCCTTTTACAAAACCTGGGACCCACCTTTCCCCCTCCTCCTGGTTTGCAGTATCTGTACTGTATACTAATATCCTTGATAAAATGCAGTGGCCAGAAAAGGTTTCACGCAAGCTCCTGTCCAAACTCCATGGAAAACGTTACTTTTTGATCCAAAGGACAAAGATCTGCACCACCTACAGTGGCCTTCCACATTCCTACAGGGAAGTAATTTGGTTAAACGGAATAAAGATATCTAAAAACCTTACTTGATATAATTTAGGATTGGGGTTGATTTCATTAATTATATTAAAATGTTACATACAAATCTGACAGCTTTTGTGGTCATGAATCTCTTGGTTTTAAATTGGGAGGAGGAGCTCAGTAGCGATGTCCACTCTCCTTCCTTTATCTATTTTATTGGCTGAAATGATCTGCAGTGATGAAAGGATGAAAGGCATCCCCAGAGGTGCCTTTTATCATTTTAAATAAATCTCTAGGTAGATGTTATTCTGCCGTAGTGTGTGATTTTTGCCATGCTGTTAGGAAGCCTGTACAGAAGTTGCTTTGTAAAGCAGCCAAACAAATGAAAACATTACCTTCTTAGGGGATGTGTTCCTAGCAGTTGCTGTTAGCTTTATGGATACTCATCTTGTTAATAAACGGATGTCATTTTTTAAAAATAGTTTGTGATTAATCTCTTTCGGAGGTATCTACTCAGTCACAAGTTTTGTTTTAAACTAATGTTGTGGTTTAATCTCTGTGGTTTATCATTCAAGTACTTTAAAAGACAAAGCAAAAGTCTAAAGCAGACTGTCAAAAATTTCCATCTGCCAAACAGTTAGATTTGCTGTCTCCTTGTTCAGTTTGTGCAGTTCTCAAACATTTAATATACTGTTGTATATTCTGCTGACACTAGAAGCCTTCAAAAAGGAGAACTTCACATTGCCATTCTTTCAAGTTTCCATGAGCATATACTGTGAATCAGAGTCACTCTCCTTCTATATGGTACCGAGGGGGTTATTTGTTTTTTCTTTCTAGTCAATAAAGAAAAAGAGAGAAGGTTTGATATCATTGTTTCCTACAGGTGTAACTGGGTGGATTGGAGTGTAGATATGAAATCCTTTGGGTCAAGTTAGTAACTTCAGTCCTTTCTTGCTGTCATGTCTCTGTTTTCCAGATCAATAACAAAGCTTGTGGCAAAGTCAGTATGCCTCGCCAAGTAGCCCGGAATGCTGAGGAAGTCCATGAACTAATTCTTCAAAGTGAGCTGGGAATCAAACACCTCCAGGGACGTCCTATCAAAAAGGCCTTTCTGTCTCCAAGAACTGCCCTCATCAACTTCCTAGTGCAAGAATAATGGGAATATGTGTTGTCTAAGGCTGCTAGCCTGTGTGTGGCTGATGGAATGCTTCAAAATGAAGCCCATTAAAAATACCAATTATGCTTATTTAAATCTATTTCACAGTGGAGAAAAAGGAAAAATCTTTATTAGCTAAAACTGTATTGCTGCTGATCCTTGTCAAGTCAGTCTTCATTTAAACATAAAGAAAAGCCAAGGTATTGGGGTTTCCTATTTGATCAGTGAAGGAAGCTACTTCACCATATTGTCAGGCTGACCAAGGATGCTACCAAGGAGGCAACAGTGTAAGGAAAAGCAGGCAAAAGAAAAAGATATTTGGGAGAAATATCTGAAACTGTAGTTAAGAGGGCATTAGAGATGGGCCCAACCTACAATGTCTGCCTCAGTATTCAAGTGTCCTAAAGTTCATGGGTATCTGGGCCAATCTCTAGAATGTATCTTACTAGGAAATTGATTTTGTTTCTATCAGTGTTTTTGGTAAATGTGATTAAAGAGCCAAACTACTGTAGTGAGTACTTGCTCCACAACACGTTCAAAAAAACATAATATGTCACCAGTCACCTCTGCTTCCTAGATAGAGATCACATTTAGGTTCGCTAATATGAAATAGCATTATTTCTTATTCACATTTTTGGTGCAATTGAGTGCTTATAGGAATCAATTAGCACTGGATTGTGGGTAGGGTAGTGTAGGCCAGTGGTTCTCAACCAGGGGTCCAGAGCCCCGTAGGGGGCCTCAAACAGGTTTCAGGGGTTCCGCCAAGCAGGGCCAGTGTTAGACTCAATGGGGCACAGCGCAGAAAACTGAAGTCCCACTGCATGGGGCTGAAGCCTGGGGCCCTGAGCCCCGCCACCGGGGGCTGAAGCCAAAGCCTGAGCAACTTAGTTTTGTGGGGGGGCCCTCTGGCATGGGACCGCAGGCAAATGCCCTGCTCCCCCCTACCGCAGGCCCTGGTTTTTATAAGCAGAAAACCAGTGGAGTTTTTATAACATGTTTGTGGGGGGGTGGAGGGCCTCAAAAAGAAAAAGGTTGAGAACCCCTGGTGAAGGCCATCAGGATGGATGTTTCCTTACATAGCTCTGACAGTGCACTCCAGACATGTTTGACAGACAAATTAAGAATATAAAAAATACTTTTTATATGTTCTGGTTTAATGTGTCCTTTTTGCTTGCTTTCCATCACCTTACATTTATCTTCTTCAGATTTTACAAACTACAGAAAGTTTCTTCTGAATAGAATTTGTTTTCACCAGATAGCACATCTCCGAGCACGCCAGACGCATTGTACAAAAGAATTACTTAGATACTAGTAATGCAGGGCTGATGAAGGCAAACATAGCATCCTTTCTTGGTTCAAGGTGAGCTCTCACATGAGAACCCAAATGGCAACTCTCTTGTTTTTTCGGTGGATTTCATTATGTGCAAATAAACAATTGTGTTCCTAGGGGAATCTGAAGTCAATGAGATTGTTTAATAAAATACAGAGTAATTCTCATGCACCAGTGCAGCCATTTTTTTGGTACCATACGTCACTGTTATATGCACAAGGAAATGTTTACAGTGTTTAACAAAAGGAAGAGAGGAATTTGAATCCTCAAGTCTGCACTGCAGTCATTTGGAATGGTTTTCTTAAAGAAAATTACAGGGTTTACTGTACGATGACCTTTGTTCTTTACAGGCAGTGAATCAAGTGGCCTTTTAAACCAGCCACGCAGGGGGTATCTTTGCAGCTAGGAAGCCAGCCAAAAAAATCAGCTAGCCATCTAAAAAGGTCTGTTAACCCTGGAGCCAACTCTCCTAAATTGAAAAGAAACCAGAAAAATCATCCTGTTTAGTAGTCATAAACAAGTTTGTTACCTAGTCAGTCACCCAAGCGACTAGAACCCAGATAAATCCAGTTAGAATCCCACACTAGTTCCAACCTTAGCAAACAGGATTCGGGTCTCTGATTTTTTTAATTCCAGAAACTAACTCTCCTAGTTCCCAGCCGCTTGCCCTGCCCACTGGACCATACTGATCTATGCTTTCTCTTTCAACAGTCCTTTTCAACAGAAAAACACCAAGGGAATTTGGCACAGTTGGCATATTTACAATGAAAATCTGCTCTTTGTAATGTAATTCTTTAAAAATCCTAGCCATAAAGAAATGTATCTAGCCAGGCTATCAAAGATAGGCATCAGCTGAAAATTAAAACCAGTTTAATTCCAGTGGCTGTCTGATATACACGTTGTTATAAATTCTTAAAACTCAGATGCCCCTATAAGGACTAATAAAGAAGCCTTTTAAACTATCATTTGGAACTCTCAGCACTATCTTGCTTTTTCTGTGTAAACATTTACAAAATCCTTAGGCAACAGTTTTGAAGAGTTTTTCATGGATGTGGGAGGTGTTATGATTCTGTAAATAGAAACCCTCCTCATTTACTAGGAGGAAGAAAAATGCAATAAGATCAACAAATCTGTGTGCCTTTTAACGAGGGCTGCAGTAACGGCCAGTTTCAGCAGCAGACAACAGTATTTATTGCTCTTAGCACAGGAGTGTATTTGCTCTTCCAGAATGAAGAAGTGAATTGTATATTTCACGTTGCAATGCATACACATTTATAATAAGGAACAATTTTTTCCTCTATCTTAAAAAAAAAATCATAGCCAATTGTGCAAGAAATACGTCAAGTCATGGCTGCATGTTTACAGTGAGTCACAACTTGGTTTCTAGTGTGGTCTCGATGATAGAATACAGTTCTGCAAAAATAAGCGGGGGAGAGATGAAGATGTGGAAAGCTTGACATAGCCTAATCCCATATTGAGTGTGTATTTGAAAGCTGTACGGCTGTCAACTGAGGTGTTTTGGGTTTAGCCTATGACAGCTGTTGAAACTTTTCATAAAGTTAACATGCTTCTAACCACCACCATTTTATTTGTCTTATGACAGTTGTGTATCACAAGTTTGTTTCTATATTAATATGCCTAGTCTGGACTGATATTGACAACAAGTGGTATCTTACTTGTCTAAAGTAACTCTGTGTGGGTATTTATTTATTTATTAGCCTTTCCTAATCCACATCTTCTACATTTTTTTAGAAATGATTTGTTTTACAGTAGCAAATAGATACCCCAACTGAGCCCCATTGGTCTAGGCTCTGTACAAAACAGGCAGTCCCTGCCCCAAAGCTTACAATCTTAAATAGTATGAGATTTTGAAATCTATTCTTCTCAGTGGTGGATCATGTGAATGGCATTATGCTAGTCATACATACTTAAATGGATATGGTATCCCTATAATTATTCCATGCAAGTGATTAACAAGAGGAAGCTTGGTCATTGGGAGACTAGCTGTACCCAGTGAGAGAGACACCCAGTACAGTCCATAACAATCAAATAGAAAAGTGACACTGCAAGGAAAATTTTCAGTATCCTACTGCTTAATGAGAAACCCGTACAAGAACAAGTGGACATGCGGTGACATTAGAAGACAGCAAATTTTAAAACTGTTTTATGCAATGTTTTTATCAATGTAAAATTAGACAGTGGAACTCATTGCCCCCAAAATATCACTGAGGTCAAGAATTCAGTGGAATTAAAAAATTCTGGACATTTATATGGATAAAGAGTTAAATAAATATAATGGAGATATCCTATCTCCTAGAACTGGAAGGGACCTTGAAAGGTCATCAAGTCCAGCCCCCTGCCTTCACTAGCAGGACCAAGTACTGATTTTGCCTCAGATCCCCAGGTGGCCCCCTCAAGGATTGAACTCACAACCCTGGGTTTAGCAGGCCAATGCTCAAACCACTGAGCTATCCCTCCCCCCAAAATTAATTGGAGCTTTGTGACTAAATCCCCCAAATCTCAGCCAAATGGTGTAGCCCATTCCCTTCTGTTGAAAAGAACAGACCTTCAACCCTCAGCTCCTGAGAAAAGGGCTGACTGAAGACAGGAGCTTCCCAGACAACCATTACCTGAAGGCCTCTCCCTGAGGGAAGGGAGGGCTTTATAATAAGGAACAATTTTTTCCTTACTTTACTAAGGATTGAAAACAAAAGTTTGAAAGTAATACAATCAGAAATGTAGAGCTGGAAGTATCCTCAAGAAGTCATCTAGTCCATTCACCTGCATTTAGGCAGGACTAAGTATACCTTCACATAATCCCTGATGATTAAAGTTATAAGACAACTTCTAACTGAGGGGGTAGGAAGAAATTTCCCCAATGGGTAAATTATCCGTAACAATGTTTCTTGCACCTTCCTCTGAAGTATCTGCAGCTGGTCACTGTCAGCTGATACAGGTCAAGATGGACCATGGTCTGATCCCATCGGGCAGTTCCTATGTTTCTAAGGTTAACTTTTGAGTTTAAAAAAAGTTAAACATTGACACCTCCTTATACCTAAAATCCCCAATATGCTCCCCCAACCCCTACCCCAAGTTGAGTTTTTACCCCAAAAAGGGAGAAGTGTCAGAGATTCCATTAAGTCCACCAGGGCCTTTGCTGTTGATTTCACCTGGAAGGTGCTCAGATACTGCAGTTATGGACGGCTGTATAAAACCCATAGATAAATTAAACAATGTTTAAGCATACTTACTAAACATGGCTGTCTGGCTAGCATGATCAAGGGATTCAAATACTTGGTTTTAACATGTGGATGAGGCAACATGGTTTTAAAACCATGTTAGAGAATGCTGTTACAGCCTAGGTCGTGCGCTAACTCCATTCTATAAACATGTCTCAGACATACTTCAAACAAAAATCTATGCTAGAACACTCTTGAGAAAGCGCTTATTTTTCCAGGCCCCTCAGCTGACTCCAAAAAGGAAATCTGATTGAAAAGCAAATGCATTTAACTCTTGTTTATTAGCTTTTTAAACAATGCCTCAGAACCAAAACACCTGGCTAACACCATTTTTATTTGCCTTTATAAAGAACTGGGGAAGGAGGGGGTTCCTCCCCATAGGAGGAATTCTGTCCATAATGAAGCTCATAAAGTGTAAGCCTTTGTGTCTCCTCTTTTCAGTGTAAAGCCTCCCAGAAGGCCATGGTCTTTCTCTAAACCTTTTGCAATCAACATGAACTGGAAAGAATGTTAAGTAGCACTTTGCCAATTGTTCATTCCTAGAGAGATTTGCAATGTATAGTGCTTTAGTGAAAGCTTCATTGTATCTTACACTAGGGCTGTTTCTGGTTGGTTAGAGACTGGAAAAAATCACGTCGTTTTATATGTCTATTTTAGGTAACCTATAGAAGAGAGTCAACACCCTTCATTTTATTTTTACCTATTTTGAGTTTTACGCACAGATTTTCAGGATAGATGCTTTTTCTCCCGCTCTCTTTGGTGCCTCCAACTAATGGCCATACCCAATTTTATATCAAAGGTCTGTACTGTAGCAGAAGTGTTGGCCAATGGTGGTATTGAAACAAAATGAGAACCCATAGAAGGCAGATGCACCCTCCCATTAGCTCATCGACCCTTTGTTAGCTCAGGGTCTGATCATCCCTCTTCACAGGAATAACCATGGACCTACCACCACATTTTTTGGTCAGGCAGCCGGGTTTGGCGGGCACCCTCAGAAGAACATGGGGACCAGCCCCTGATCCCAGTTGATCCACCAAATGCAGAGGAACTCAAAAAACATGTTCTGCTGTGTACAGCAGTGAGAGCAGAACTGGAATTACACATGCGTAAGGAGAGCAGAACATCAGTTATGATCCACAGTGCAGACCAGAGAAGAGAATTTTGCCTCTGTGTGTCAAATGTGAAAGAGAGAATTGGACTCATCCTCTGACCTTCATGGTGATGTTTTTCCTTTTAGAATGTTTTGGAAAGTGACTTTCTAGTATTGTATAACACAGCACTTCACTAGCCTCTCTGTCCAAGGAGTCCCAAAGGAATGCAAAAATTTTATCTTGCAATTCTCCTCTGAGGTGAGCTAACATTTTACAGATGTGGAATCTAAGACGCAGAGAAATTGAGGCCAATATTTTCTAGTGTCTACTGATTTTTGGTGCCTCAATTTTGGATACCCAGCACCCAGAGGACCCATTCACTCCCTCTGGAATTGAGTTTCTTCAGGGATTCTGAAAATCTGACCTTGGATATCTCAAGTTCAGCACCATTTAGTGGATGCTTTTGACAGTGTGGGCATAAGTGACTTCTGGAAAAAGACACAGACACAGCTGACAGAATTGTTCTTCCACATCCTTAGCATTGGCAATTAAGTACTGGATGGAGTGAAAAGCTGAAGATTTTGAAAATCTCTTGGATTTTTGTATTTGTTTTAAATTGAATATAGCCTAAATCTGCCACAGAGACGTTCATAATGACCTCATCAAAAGTAGCCTGTAGTAATGGGCAGCCATGAGACTCCTTTGCATGTTCTACTGATCTGCAGGCCATTGTAGGCAGCTTGATCTCTCACTCATCACAACAGCACATGAATGGAAAACGCTTAGCTGTAATCAATTTAATCAGTATGTTCTTTCCAGCTGTGATCACCCAAACTC